AGGGTCAAAGCAGCACCTTCCCGCTTCTCTCTGCTCTTTGCAGCCCCGAGGAACGCTCCGGTGCCAGGCTATCGGTGGTGGCAGCAGCACCCCTTGAGAAGGAGCCCTCCTCTTGCTTTTAGGACCTGTGTTACCATAATCAACCAAGGGAGGCTTTTTCCAGCAACTTCTCAACCCTGTGGTCACCTGTCCAGAAAGCTGCTTCTCTGGCACCTTTGTGACAACGTTGGAGACAGGAGCTTAGGACTGGCGAGTCTGCTGGTGTCCCGCCTCAGTGGCAGAGCTCCTGGTCCTCACAGCTGGACCTCACTGTGGCCCTTCACGCCCTGGCAAGCCCCGCCGCCTGCAGCTAGCTAGCACCGCATTCCAATGAGTTGAGTTAAATACGGTTTGTGGGCGAACTTAGCTAATGGAGACTATTAATTTACATAATTCCAGTTCAAACATTATCTCCAGCAGATTCACTGGCCTGTACTATCCAAAGCATGGCCTCAAATCTATTCTTCGCCTTACTCGTAGACCCTCCGTTTACACAGCAGCCATTTAACTGATAGAATTGCAATGATCAAATTAATTTTACCAGTGTAAGCAGCTGGGTTGCATCATTTAAACCCAAATCAACATTAAGGTCTGAATTACATGCCTGGCTCCCTACCTCGCCGTGGGGCACTGGTTTTCCTTATATTTTCGATCAGGAAAACACTTCCTGCCAGCCCCTCAGCCCGTCCCCTCTCCCCCCAGCAGCTTCGACTTCTGTCTGAAGATCATTTCTGCTACATCTGGCCACGTTTGGAGAGCTGCCACGCTTCTCCTCGGCAGCAGAGGGGCGGGGAGCTTGTGGCTTCTAGCCACGAGAACAGCAGCTGCCTCTCAGGCTCAGCTCACGTCGTGGCAGAAACACAGTAACCATGTTTCGGAGTTCAGAGAATCAGCGCTCCTGCTGAGTGACTAGAGAGTCCACACAGACTCCACTCGGGGAAACATCGCTGCACCTTAACCAGGGCCAGTGCATCCCAGCGCCAGCTGCGGATCACAGGCGTGAACGGAACAGCTTTGCTGAAGCCCAGCTCAGTACGGGGGAGAAGATCGTGGCAAAAACCAGCATCTCACCCACACACACACACACACACACATGTCATAGTACATGATACATTTTTTTCTCACCCATAAGAATGTTTTAGCGTCAATGATTCTCCTAATTGACTGCTCGCAAAAATGCCTATTTCTGATTCTAGACTCTGATTCTGACCCGGTAGGGGCTGCACGCATGAAGTCCTGGAAGACGGATTTTTCCAGCTGGGGTCTGGCAGGGGTCACCTGCACCACGCACTCGGAGAAGTGCTGCTGAGGGGCCTCGATCCGTCTCGGGGGAGAGGCAATACTGTTTGTGTAAGTGCAATCACAAGAAGGAGAAGAAAATGAAAACAAAGATGGACCATTCCTCTCACTTTCCCTTTTCTCCCCCCAAACAAGCCCCACTTGCCGTAGGCACCTAAAGAGGCGCACTTGCAAGCTGTGACGCTGGTAGCCAAGAAGTTGTCCTCGGGGACACCAACAGCCTTGCTGTGCCTGCCACTGAGAGGTCTGAGGACACGGGACTCTGGTCCTCGGAGGAGGAGAGTCCCGAGAAAAGAGGCCCACGGGGCACAGGATGGCGTCAGGGTCGGCACAAACACGTTGCTTCGGGACCTGAATGAGACAACCGTCGATGCTGACCGTGACAATAGCAGAAAGCTCTATAAAAGAATTTGCATCAGCCCTTAGGGGAATGACCCGCACAAAAAACCGTCCCTTCCAGGGTCACAGAAGGAAGGAAGCATCGCAAAACGCTCAGGAAATACCACTCAGGAAGAGTGCGTGTGAGGACGAGGGGACCTGGGAGGAGCGGAGCTGGAAATTGGACCAGCAGAGGCGGCGCAGGTGCCTCGGAAACAGCGGTGCTGAGCACCTGCTCCGCTGAGACCCGCTCCTTGAGTCGGAGCCGAGACTGGCACGCTGTGGGGGCCCGCTGGAGCGGAGGAGACAGTGGAGAGGGCTGTGCCGAGACGTCGGTCCATGTTCGAGGAACAGACGAGATGCCCTGTTCAAGAACAGTGTGAACAGACACAATAGGACCGGTGGCGGAGGCATTGTGGCCACTGACTGCAGAAGAGGGATGACGTTATCCAAAGAATTTGAGAACACCGGAGAAAGAGCATTTGTGTTTCGGGGAAAAAGCTAGTAAATTCCGTTTTGGCTATTTGGGTTTAGGGGCCTGACCTCAGATTGTATTGCTCTGAAAAAAAAAAAAAAAAAACATTCGAGGACCGAGGGCCTGGAAACACTGCTCTGCCCGTGTGCATCGCTCCGGAGTCTGTGCACCGCTCAGCTCTGGGGGCAGCGCAGCTTGGGACCTCTCACGACTCGGAGAAGTGGCGGCTGGGGCTGGGCCTTCCCGCTCCCTAAGGTGGCTGCACTGCTTGCACGCCTGCTGGCTTCTAAGGGGCCACGGCAGAAGCTGCCGCTCCTCTGAAAAGCCTGGTCTGGAGTGAGCACGGCATCCCTTCCCACCCTCCTGTCCAGCGGTCACGGGCCCGCCCAGAAAGGGGGCTGGGGGGAGCCTCTCCATGGGAGGAGTGTCCAGCATTGCGCAGCCGTCTGTACCCTGCCACCGTGCTGACAGGGGCCACTGTGGGGAAGTGTTGGGGGGCAAGAGGGACTCTCAGCCTGGCTCCCCTGAAAGAAGTCAGAACTGGAAATGTGGGTGGATGGAGAGGGAGTGAATGAGTGAATTAACGATGCCTGGGTACTGAAGTCAGCTTTACTTGGGTATCACCTGAACAGCTGCACAGCAGGGGTATAAGCAAGGATGCCGGTGTTGCTGTGGGTGTAAGGGATAAACACCCATCCCAGGAACTGTACGCTGGGACACAGCTGCGCCAGCTTGGGAACTTACACGCGAGGAGGGTGGGTGGCCGGGCCCCCAGGGTCTGCGCCAGAGGTCAGAAAACGTTACATGGATAGAAAACACTTCCCAGCATTCACTGGTAGAAAAGACAGACCTGAAACGTTTCGATATAGTTCGGACGAATCTTTGCTCTAAGCCGACGCTGCTCAGTGAGCGTGGCTGGCGGTGAATGTGGGCTACCGTGAGTCAGCATTCCTCCCTTCTCAGTGGGTGGGGGAGCCTGGGCGTGGGGGGAGGAAGGAGCGGGGGTTTCTGCGTGAAAACTGTTAGAAGAGCGCTAGCGTTTACCAGGTAGCTCCAACCACAGTGCTAAACAACACACATCAAAGTAAACCAGGTGTCTGTAGAGTACATTACGTAATCAAAAGCGAACCGTTCAGAAACAGAAACACTTAATTCCATGCTCAGAATCCCCCACTGGACTAGGTAATAAAGTGTTTGATTTTATTCCACAGCATGGATTTCTGATAGCTGGTGTGAAATATGCTGCGGGGGCTAATAATTTCCCTTCCGTGATTTTGGCGTTTTCTCTAATTAGGTCGTAAACTGTCTGCTGAGGCTGCTTTGTAATTTTGTCTAGGTTCTTCTTTGGATAGCCAGGAAGGGAGGCGAGCAGTGCCTCCAAAGAGATGGAATCTTTAGCCAGCAATGGCTGCACAACTTAGGACCATCAAGCGCATATACAGGTGTGTGCTGTGTATGTACGCACAGAGATGTCAGTACCTATGGAAGCGCATGCGTGTATTCTAGGTATGCTTTTGTTCTTGAATTTGGGAAGCAAAGGAGACGATAAAGAGGAACATGGGACAAAACCAAGCAAATTGAGCTTTCGGGGGGGCAGGTCACCTATGCGTCGGACTGAGGTTATCGCCGCGACCGAGGCCCGCAGAGGCCGGCGCTCGCCTGCATTGCAGGGCGGTGCAAACTCGCCAGGGACCTCCGTCGAGCTCCCTAGAAACATAGCTCTTCGCGTGGGAGGCGGGGGGAGGGGACCTAGGTCGGCACACGGCATTTTAAAAGCATGGTTCACCAGACAGGATTTAAAGGTACAACTAAGATAAGAGGTAAGAATCTATACATATTATATATATAATTATATATAATATATATGTAATTACCCTGATGAAATGACCAGGTTTAATGGCTAAGGAGACCTTGAAAGTTAGCAATGGAATTTTCTATGACCCGTCCTGGTAGCAATAATGTTTCCACGACAAACTGCAAAGGGGAAAACTTCAAGAACGATCGATACTTTTACGCCCCTTCCATCCCGTAGTATGGCATTAAGTGCGGGAGCGACACACAGGGCACTCGAGGGCTGTGTGAGGCACTGCTCCTCCCGAGAAGCCTTTACCCCACATCAAGGCTGGAGCTCCAGTGAGTTTCCAGGCTCAATGGTTGCATAAATTAACGCCATTCAGAAGGGCTTTAACTTGCACAGCTGACTTGGGGGACACGTGACTAAGCCTCTCAATCGGCATCGAAGGCACATTGACGGGAGTTGTCTTATCTCTGTGCCGCTTCCTGCCGTTACCATCCTCACTTTCCTCACAGGCAGCTGACGTCTCTCCTTCCAAAGCAAAAGAAAAAAAAAAGGCCTCGGAGACTAGCCCTGCTTAAAGCTACGGGTCGCTGAAAATGTGCCTGTCCTTCATTTGCACTGTGATGAAGTGAAACCTCTTGATTTGGGTCATTTTTGAGACATAAATCTGTAGAGAAAACGAACATGCACTTACAATGCGACCAACACGACATGATTTATTGTTCTTAAACATGTGTGAGTACAGGAGGGAAGAAAGAAGTCTGGCCCTGAGGCCCCCTGGATGGGAAGCACCGGCGGCCACTGACGGCCCGGGGCGGGGGGGGGGGAGGCGGCGGAGCGCCTGGGGAAGGCCAGCCCCGGGCTGTCCGCGCCCCGGGTCATCATCTCAGCGGAGCCCGGCCTCTGGCGTCACAAACTGTCACGCACACACCTGTCTACTCTCTCTGACCAGCGGTCCCTGGGAGGGTTGTGTGAGTGGTAAAATGAAAGGCTCAAAATGGGTTTCCATACCTGATTGTGGACTTTGTTTGGGGATTTTGGCTACCGCTTGAGGGCTGGAGGTGGGGGCCGTCCGCTGGTTGGCAGAGCTGTGGACGCCGCTGCTGGGGGCGGCCGCGGAGACGTTCTTGCGCGGCTTCATGTCTTGCAGCCACATGGGCGAGGCCTCGAAGGCCTGCATCCTGCGCGCGTGGCTGTTGGCGTTGACCTTCAGGTAGGCCTGGGCCTTGTGTTCCTGCAGCTCTCCGTAGTTGGCGTCGGTCACCCTGCACTCGTATAGGCCTTCGTCCTTTTTCCTCACTTTGGAGATCTGCAGCTTGTGGGAGATGTCGTTGCCTTGGACTTTCACTGTCTGGAGGATTGCAGGGGGAAGACATGAGAAAGGGAGAGCTGCATCAAATGACGGGGTCCCCGTACTCGGCCCTGAGCTCCCTCATGTTGGAAAAGGAGGAGTCTTCTTGGCCACGGCCAGAGAGCTCGCTCCTGGGGTGTCCGCGGTGAAATGCCCAGGTCTTGTCTATCCCGGCCTACTCCGCCTGGCTTCACCGAGCGTGGCGCGGTAGTGCCATCTAGCCAGCGCCACGTTCCGAGAGCCACATGGAATGGCAGGTTCCGGGAATGGCCCTGCCCTTTTCTGATCTGGGGTTGTCTCTGCCTGGTTAGCTCGGCTGAAGGAGGCACGGACCTCATGAGGCCAAGGCAGTGCTCACGCAGCCTCTGTTGTTCGCTTTGGGCTCCGACTCTGAGAGGCCACGAGAATGTTTCGTGGGTGGTTGTGACTGACCTCGAGATTCACTGAGAATGCGCTGTTATCCCCACACGGGAGTGACTATTAAAGGCCCTGACAAACTTACACTGGGGTGTTGAAGGTTTTTCTGCTCAACTTTTTGGTACACTCTGACCTATCGTCATGGGGTGGCATGGCTCAGGGTGCAATGAACGTTGCCCAAAGTCTGGTGGCTCAGACAACCTACTCTCTGCCGTTACAGGGTCTGTGCGCTATTGGAACTTGAACACGACTTTGATTTTTAAGATTGAAAAGGGGCTCTTATTTCTTCTAGTAATTTTAGGCCATCTTAATGGCGAGACTATACATGTGTATAATAAATGAAGTTTTATATAATATATGATATATATCCATTAGCATCTTTATCAAAATGGCTAGATTTGATATACTTTATATATTACCCATGTTGGCTGAATGATGATGGATTTCATGAGACATTTGGGATTCAAGGACTTGGATGATGTTGAAAGAGCAAAGAAGTGAAAGAGACAGAAACGTATTCTGCTATTGGCTGTCACACTTTCCAACAGCCATAAATACTTAAGATAGCTTGCAAAGTGTTTACCTGTTTATTTCATAAAGTACACATTGGATGGAAGTAAAGTATGTATTGGATGGAAAGTATGTATTGGATTGTATACAGGTAGCAATGCTATAAAAATAATGGAGATTGATAGCTTCCAATATATTCTTGGTCTCCGTAAGCCTGAGAGCTTGTTATTATCCCACTTTATAGCAGAGTACACTGAAGCGGGGGGGCCTTGGTGGGTGACTCCCAGCACTGGCCGCACACTGGGCTTCTCGGAGGGCCCGTTAGCAAAGGCACCCAGGGGGGCAGTGCGGACACTCGGCCTGCGTCTCTGTGGGGTGATGCCCATGCCAGCGTTTTAGAAAATCTCTCCTGAGAATCTGAGCTAACAGCTGCTGGTTTAGGACATAGATTCAAGGTCACTCCGTGCGTAAACTGGGAACAAATTACTTTCTGTCTCAATCTGCATCTAGATCTCTTCCCAGTTTACTAGACTCGACAAATTGGCAGAGATAACACTGTTAGTTGTATCGAAGGTTTGGACCTGACTGTGTGGCTTCCCTCGGTCAGGGTGTGGGCGGCTGTTTCCATGACTGGTCTTTGGAGGCAGAGCAAGTGAGAGATGAGTCATCGATAACGACCTATCCAACCGCACGTACGTATGAAAAATGAAGTATTTATGACAAAATATTGTCCGCAATTGGTCTGAGCAGCAAAGCTTTTCTGGCACTGTCTGAAAACAACAGTTTTTGCGATATAAGAATAATTGAATTGAAATAGTCTAAAACATCAGTGAGTTTATAAATATAAATTGGAATTTCTGCTTTATATCATTTTTTGTTTGCTCTTTTCTTCCATTTTGAGATTATACATTTAGATGATATAATCTGACTTTGTTAGGACAGTATGTGTTTACACTTTCAGTTGTGATGTAACTCCAATCTTATAACCCTTTCTGCTGCTGTGAAGCCTCAGAATAAATTTCCTTCTTAAATGTGGGTCGTTGGGTTTTTAAATTCTTAATATATCTAATATCTAATATCTATTTATGATTAGCTGACCTCAGTTCATATTAGATAATTATTTCACTTCTAGTAATGAAAATTTCTTTACTATTTATCAGCAAATTAAGCAGTTCCATTAATATAAAATGATTCTGTGTGGCTTCATTTAAGGTAGAACAAAAATGTTTTTTATTTTATTTTTTAATTTCACACACAGTTATGAAAAATAATAACCACACTAAAGTAGAAACACATCTCTCTATTTTAATTAGGTTAACCTCTTCAGTTGTGTTTTCATGTTTATATTGGCTTTTGATTCTATATTTATATGATTTCATATGTTAGTGTTTTACTCCCTATTAAAGGATAATTATTGCCATGACTCTGAACAGAGAGCAGTATTCGGCTCTTTACTCTTACAGTTACGTAACTGTTAAAAAGCAGATGTCACCACTTGTGATGGCAGGATGATTCTCTAGTAACTGTTTAAATATTTATGTGATTGAAATAAATCATTTCATTGTACCACCTCTAAATCGGCTTCGGTTTTTATGCACTGGCTCTCGGACCTGCTTTGGCAAAATCGCCTTTTTAGGGACAGTAAGTTAAAAGGCTTAACACGAGGACCACAAGCTGAACCCCTAAAACGCGCTGACTCTCGCCGCGGGCCTGCGCGCGGCGGACGCAGGCGAGCGCCCCCTGTCGCCGGGCCCTGTGATACTCACACTGATCTTGGTCCCGTCGTTGTCGGGGTCTCGGTCGGGCACGAGCTCCACCTGCGGGAGGGGAGGGGACGGAAGCTCAGCGCCGGGACCCGCACCGCCCCAGCTCCGACCCGCAGCGCGGCCCCGGCTGAAGCGTCGCCGCGGCGCGGGCCCGTTTAGCGGAGAAGAGCAGCGCGGACCCGCCGCGCGGGGGCGCTGCCCGGCCGCGCGCGCTCGGCTGCGCCTGGGACCCGCGGTGCCCGGGACGCGGGGACGACGGCGCGGGGCGCGCGTGTGCGTGGAAGTTTGCGGGGACGAGACTCGCCGTCTGTGCCCGGACTGCGTCCCCTCCCGGGGGTGTCGCGAACAGATCGTCTTTCTCGCCCCAACAGCCCCGACCCGTCTGCCGCCCCTTTCGCTGAACTGGGGGTCCGGTCTGCGCTCTCACCCACTTTCCCTTCCTGCCCCCCCTCCCCTTTCCCTCTGCCCCTCCTCCCCCGCCCCTCCTCCCCACCTCCGCCCCCTCCCCCTTCCACCCGCACCCTGCACCCCGCTTCCCGAGCCCTTCCGTCTGTCCAGTCGAGCGGCTCGACCCCTCCTTCGCTCCCTTCCCGCCCCCTTTCCCCCCCACGCGGCCCTCTCTCCCACAGTGCCCCTGCTCCTGCCCTCTCCGCGCCCACCCCCTTCGCCCCTCGCCCCTTCCATCTCTCCGCTCTCTCTGGTCTCCGCTGCCAATCTCAGACGTGGGGGCGGGGGGTGCAGACACCCCCAGAATTCTCCACCCCACCCCACGGTCCCGGAGATGGGACAGCGAGTGTCCCGGGAGGGGTCAACACTGTAGTGCCGTCCTGGACGTCCTGACGATAACCAGTACGAACAGGAGGAGGCCAGTCCCGGTCTCAACCAGAAAGACGAAGGCTTCTTCCTTGGTTTCAAACCAGAGCCACCAGGACATATTCCAGCTCATTCCCTGGCGCCCCTGGGCCTCACCCGCGCCAAGCGGGCCGGCGGTTTCCAAGTGGCGCCCAGAAACCTCCTTTGGCCGCAGACCTCTGGCTGGACACCCAGAGGACTTGGGGGGGGGGGGTCAGGGGAACAGGCGCAGGGGACGACCGGAACGCGCGACTCCGATCCGCTACCTGCGCACCGGCCACCTCGGCCGCGGGCTCCGGGTCCTCGGGGCCCCGCAGGAACCACCACTGGATCTCCAGGTACACCGAGGCGGAGCCGCTCTGGAAGGCGCACGACATCTCCACATTCTGCCCCTCGGTCGCGGTCACGTTGCGCGGAAACTCAGTAAATTTTGCTGCAAAACAGAAACGCATCCCTTTAGAATATCCACACCATGCTCGCCAGCTCTCTTTCCTTGGGAGATCGCTACATTTTTCTTGGACTGGAAAAAAAAACCAAAACAAAACCAAACCCAAACCCCCTCTATAACATCCCGCACTTCGCCTGGCTCCCCACCCCCCTCTCCTTTGCCTCTTCCCTGTCTTGTTTGTGGTGGGGTGCCTAAATCACTTTGCTGTCCATCAAGTCTGGATAAGGGAAAGCATAACAAGCTTGCCAATACTCCCCCCCCCCACCCCGGGCCTCAGTTAGAAGCAAAACAAACCTTTTGTCAGATTGCAGCACTCCCCCAAATTCACGGAGGGACTCAGTGGGGTGCATTTTAGACCAATCTGTCAAGTTGATATATGGGGACAGGCTCTGGCCTCCAAGTTTCTAAACAATCTACGATGACTGGATGTTTTGTGTCGTGGAGAACAGGTCGTGATCACCTGCCAGAATGCGCATTCCTGACATACCCAAACAGTTAGCATTTGTGATCCAAAGACTACAGCACCGAGAGGAGTCGCACGCTTCCTAGGCTGCAAACGTTTCTTCCTCGCCACGTTCACTTCATGGGCATTCCCACCAAGCCCCTGCGCTGCCAATCGCCAGACATCGTGGCGTGGAAAATCAGGCACCTGGACTCTGTTCAGATGCAAGGTGGTTGTGAAGCCACTGGAGAGATTTTTCTGCCCCTCTTCGTTACCAACCCCGACCCTGCGAGTCTGCAAGATTCACGGAATCCTGGCGAAACTCACGCAGCTAAGAGGCCCCCTTTCTCCCCAAGGCATCTCTCTGTTATGGAATGTTTTGGATGGCTGTCCCTACGTTGTTGTCCGAGGGACACTTTGGGAAGAGCCGATGGTTCCCTACAAGTGGCACCGAGAGGTCTGTGGCTGGCGGTTGTGCCCAGAGGCAATGCACGCTTACGAGAGAAGGACCCGGGGGCGGGGGGTGCTGCAGGACAGGCTTGGGGTGGGTGCCCATTTCCCCCCACTTTTTACGGAGGGACACCATCCGCGCCCCTTTTCACGGCCGCGTGCCATCCCACAGCGTCTCCGTGGAAAGGGAGCTGCATTTATACTCAAAGCAAATGGGAGCCGCGAAGGAGACACTCGGACGGGAAAAGGACTTTTTTGTTCCAGCCCCAGGGAGGGAGGCGGCGGCGTTTCTGCCCGAGCAGCGATGCGGTCCTCGGGCCGCGGCTCCGAGATCTGTTCGTGGTGCTGAAACCAGAGCCCCGCAGCCTGCCAGGTTCCCGACCCCTGGGTTCAGCGGGCTGCCGCCGCTGCTTGGAATGCAAGCCGTGCCTTTTTACGGGTCCCCGGGGACGCCTGTCCTTTGATAAACACACACGCAGACGAAGCCACACGGACCCAGAAAAAAAAAGAAACTCGAAACCCGTTCTGCCTCCACGGAGCAGGAGGACTGGCCGTGGAGAGTCCCCGTTTGTTTGCGACGATTATGTATGCATGAGTGGTTACCCTGTGCATGCACACACACACACACACAACCCAACACGCACACACACACACACACACACACAACACACAACACACGCACCCCTGTGCGTCTGCCCTCCGAGCCCTCTGCCTCACTGCCAGGCACCAAATAGACTCGCCTCCGAACCTAGCAAGCCTGCTATTTAATCAACTTTAAATAAAAATGCCGAACAGAACCCCATTCCACTGTTACTTGCTAGGAAGCTCACATCTGCCTGGACACACACACACACACACACACACACACACGAGCAAATGCACGTTTGCCAACGAGCACACACTTACCTTGAGAAGAAAGCCCTTGCTGCACGTATAAAACCGAAAAGAAGACAAATCCAGCATACGCCAAAAAGATCCCCATCATTCCACAAAGGAGAGGGGGTCACATCGGTGTCGCCAGCAGCCAGAGAGCCCTAAAAGAAAGGAGCGCCGCCGAGTCCCAGGCTGCTTCAGAGCCCTGGGCGCGACGCCGCGCGCATCCCGCCGCTGGCGGGGCGGGACCGGCTGCAGGAGAGGGGGCGCCGCCGCGGGAGAAGGGGGCCGCGGGCCGCCGCGGCGCGGCGAGCCTGGGCGCGCGGAGCCGGCGGGCAGCGCGGGAGTGTCTCCGCCGCCTGGCCGCTGCGCCCCGCTCGCTGGAGCCGCGGCGCACGTCAGCCGCGGCTCGGGCTTGCGTGATCACTGCCCTCCCTCCACGCCGCGCCAGCCGGGGAAGTGGGGCGCGGGCCGGGGCGGGCGGAGGACCTCGCCGGCTCGCCGCGCCGCAACTTTTCCCTCTAATGGCTGCGATGATGCCTTTAACTCTGTGCGCGCCGGGCCGCCCCGCACCTGCCGGGGGTGGGCCGCGCTGCCCGCGGGCGGCGCGGGGCTGGGCGATGCTTCCGTCTGCGTCTTCCCTCTGCAGAGCAGAAGCATTTGATTTTTCCCCCCCAAATGCGCCTCTTTCCCCCGTCGTCGATCGGGGCTCTCCGGCCCTGGCTGGCTCGGCGCTGAGGAGGACACTACGGCCGCAGGACGGCGGGGCGGCAGGGCTGGGGGCAGGAGCTGCAGGCGGGAGGAGGAAGCTGGGGCACGTTAAGTTGGGGGGGGGATGGCGTGGGGTGGAGGAGACTGCCTCGGGGCGACGCACACGCCGCTTAACCAGTTATTAACCGCCCTCGCTGGAGTGATCGCATGCTGTTATTTCCCACCAGTTCATTGCTGACCGCTCTCCCGCGGCAGAGGACCAGCGCGGGCAGGCGCTGCGGCCCTGCAGCTGGCAAGTGGAAAAGACAGAAAGTCCGAAAAGTCACGCACCGAGAGAATTTTCCAGAAAGAAAAGCCCACCATGCTCCGTTTACTTTTATTTATTTTAAAAAATTCGTGTACCCACTGCCTCCCTCGCCTCCATCCCTGGGGTATTTGGGAGCAGGGGCGGGGCTTTAAATATCGTCAAGGTCTTCATCGCGTGATTTGCTTTCCTTATCTGCTTTTCTTCTGCCTAACACAATAATTACTTAATGTTCCCCAGGATTATATGAATAAGGAATGTTCTTTTAGGAACAAAAAGTACAACAAGTTTTAGAATTTGGATCAAATCTAGTTATCTGCCCTGGAGAAGCTTTGAGATGTATATTCCATTTCTTATTAAGAATTAAAAAACAGCATACATCACATTAAAGACTCTCTTTTTCCTCATGAAGTCCAACCATTGAGTCAGTGACTTTAAATCTTTTTAACAAAACTAAAATCATTTGCTATCTGAGCAGAGTACCAGGCATTTTATTCCCCTTATTATTTCTACCAGTACCACAAATCTACAACATTATTTGGAAATATGACTCAGTCTTAACAATGTGGTCAGGAAACCAATGCAGTGCAATGTATTTTCATTTTACTTGTAAAACATTTGTTGTTGGCTAGTTCCTTCGGCACCCAGGAAAAATTAACCTTCACATGGCTGACGCACCCTTAGCCCACGGTCTACAGCTGCATGGGGAAGCCTCGTAGAAGATCAGAACACAAAGTCACAGTGACTGCACGGCAGTATGATGTACTTTCTGAGGCTACACTGACTTTGCACTGCGGGTGGAGGCAGAATGTAACCTTTGGGGAGAGCCGTGGGGACATTTCACGTCGGCTCCCGTCTAGGCCAACGGGATGCTACCTCCTTCTGCCCTGAGCCAAGGGTCCGGAAGGGTGTCTTTCCAAAAATAAGTCTCTTCACGCTCCGACATGTGCTCGTGGATTATGTGCTCAGAATCCAGAAGCAAACCCAAGTTAGTACATCTGCCTTGTACCAAACGGTATTTGGAAAATCACACTTTCCAGGTATCAGATCCCCAGAGGATCCTCCAGCCTTGACTTTGACGCCTAATTGACTATACGTAATGTTTGTCACAAGGGCTTTAGCTGTATTTGAGCCTTCAATGTAGACCTGTGGTTAGTATGCCATGCACATGATCTGACTTCAAGGTTATCTGCGGGTGGAAGAGTTTCCAACACAGAGAAAAGGGCATCGGATGCCAGGATGGCGGCCACCAGAGGGAGGGAGGGAGAGGGTAGGAAAAGGTAGAGAGGGTCCAACCCACGGTGACGGGAGACGATCTGATCTGGGCGGGGGGCACACAAGGCCAAATACAGACCATGTATCACAGACCTGCACACTGGAAGCTTATGTAATCTTGTGAACCAGTGTCATCCTAATGAATTTAATAAAAAAAAACAAAAAATAAGAAAAGTTCCAACCATAAAAAAGGCAAGAAAGAAAAGGGCATCCATTTTAAGCAAGCAGAGTTCTGAGTTAATTTAGCAAAGCATTTCAGCTTCTTTTAAGGGGAACTTGATCACTGTCACTGCGAAGGAATAAGAAAAGTAAGATTAAAATGTGAAAAGGAAAGCGTGAGAAAAGCTTTTACAGTGCAGATAAGCCATCAGACACTTTAAATAGAAAGTTATAACATCAAAGCAATGAGAGAAAGAAAAAGGAGGGAGGAAGAAAGGGAGACAGGGAGAGAGGGAGGGAGGGAGGAAAAACTGGGAAAGGATTTATGTCTTTTTTTCTTTGAAAAGTGCCTGATAGATACTTTACTTTCTGTTTTGCCAATGTAGACCCAAATTTTCATCTTAAATGCCATCTGTTATGTCATCTCAAGGGCTGTAAACACATTTGCATGATCTCCTTCGGAACATTTGCCTCATTTAAGGCAGAATGTCTCTCTATTAAAAGTTTGAAATAAGAAAATATAATTAAAATGTAAATATATCCAGTATGTCACATGGCACGGTTGTGAGGCCGAGCCCCATTATTTCACACCAGCCCCTGCAGAACACTGTGTGACCCTGCAGGGTCGGCGGCCGCTCGTCAGGAGAGCTGGGTTGTCTGCATCCGTGGGAAGGAGAGGTGCTTCCTGCCTGTGTGTCCTTCCCCACGAGGGTGGCTGACACCTCACTCTACAACAATGACTGAAATCTCTTTTAAAAAAACTTATTCATGAACCGATGCTCCAAAAATAAAATCCTACAATCTCATTTTTTTTTGTTGTGGTTGTTTTCTTGCCCTCTGGGTGAACTTTTGGTCATTTTTTAAAAATTTAAATATCTTTGTCACCACAGCTATTTCCCCCTGCGATTTATAATAAGAATGCATGACTATGCTCCTTCCTCAGGCACCATTAAATCTGCCTGCGTGCATTCCATTGCCTTTCTCTGGTATCTTACTGCATTTTATTTTATTTTAATTTGTACACAAAACCTGGTTTAAATTTGTCTTTTTTAAAAAAGATTTTATTTATTTATTTTTAGAGAGGGAAGGGAGGGAGAAAGAGACAGAGAGAGAGAAACATCAATGTGTGGTTGCTGGGGGTCATGGCCTGCAACCCAGGCATGTGCCCTGACTGGGAATCGAACCTGCGATGCTTTGGTTCGCAGCCCGCGCTCAATCCACTGAGCTACACCAGCCAGGGAGGAATTTGTCTTTTAAACACTGCTTCCTTATGATGTCTTCAGCTCTCACTTGAGCTTTCAGAACCATGAGTCCACCAAGAGCTAAACCGGGACGGGCTCTCTCAGTTCTATGGTCACAGACCACCTCACCCCTTTCTCCTAAGAGGGCCTTGACCTTGAGGAGGACCCACATTTCACCCCCATCGCTCACGACAGAATGACTTTTCACATCCCACTGTCATTATCTATTCTAAATCGAGGCTTAATCACCCCATGTAAACTTTTCTGAAGAGTCGGAAGACAAAATTAGGCATTTTAGTTAGATGTAGCCTTTAAAGTGAAACCATCGGAGGAACTGGAAGATCGTCCTTATGATCCAAAGGCGTCGCTTCGCGTCTTCCCCTCTCCAGCGGAGTCGCATGGGCCGGTGCAACTGCGCATGCGTTTCCACCCACGTGGGAGAGGCGCACCCCGCCCTCCTCCTAACCTGTTCTTTGGAGAAGCTCAACATTGCCCAGGAGTTAAGATGAAGGAAGAAAAGAAAGTGGAAAAAGGAACACTAGAGAAAAAAAAATCCCAAATCTTTTCCAAAGCGGGTTTGACATATATCTTCCCTTTGAAAACAGATCAATGGCTGCTTTCAGAACTATTTGGGACGGCGTGTTTATCACAACACAAGGGAAAAACGACCGAGCAGAGACTATTTCAGGGTATTGAGGGAAATTTTTCTCACTTGGGGAGATAAAAGAAAGTACCAGAGTCTTTAAATATGAAGTCAATATTAATAATCCACAAAGAAAATCTTTATTGACTCAAGAAAATGTAACCGAAGGCAGGTCTGCCTGCTTGCGGCAAAGAAAACCAAACTCAGGAGACAGGTGCTGGTGAGAAGGAAAGTGGTTTGTTCAGATGCCCGTTTCTTCTTTTTCTTTTTCTTTTTTAAAGATTTTATTTATTTATTTTTAGAGAGGGAAGGGATCGAGAAAAGGAGAGAGCGAGAAACATCAATGTGCGGTTGCTGGGGGCCGTGGCCTGCAACCCAGGCATGTGCCCTGACTGGGAATCGAGCCTGCGATGCTTTGGTTTGCAGCCCATGCTCAATCCACTGAGCTACGCCAGCTAGGGTGCAAGATGCCCGTTTCTTGAGAACATGGGAGACTCTTGTCCCAAAGCCCATCTCCCCGTCTCAGCACAGGCAGAGGTTTTCATGAGGACAGAGAGGGGAACAGAAAGAGGAGATCGAGGGAGGGGGTTGAAAAGTTCTCTGTGTGCAGATGTGCACAGTCCATCCTGACAAGGACCTCGAAACTGGTCAAGCGATGGTCTGGTGTGGGCGCCATCCTGGTTGTCGCCACTTTTGTTTTACATTTGCCTGGTTTTATGGTTGAAGGTCAGCATATCTCCTGGAGCTGGGAAGCCTGAGGTGGGAGATTTACCTTTTGAAGTTAGTTCCTAAGATTCTTACACAAACATATTGTTCATCTACAAGCTACATTTTAGTGGGAGTCAGCAAACAGAAACATCAAAAGAATGGTGGGGTGGGTTACCATCTCCCACTGTTACAAAAACAAGAG